GAGTCCTATATAATATGATATATTCATTCTTAGTTGTAAGAAAACCATAAAAAGTATTTGTTAAAAGTTATATATGATGATTGCAGGAATTATATATTCCTTCCATATGGTTGTGGGAATATGATATTGACGACCAATTAAGGTGGAAATGTCTCTTACAGACACACCTAAGGCAAATTCTTGGTTGAAAATAACAAAGCCTGGACAATCAAGATTGTAGCAACCTGTTTTCTGGTAACCATCACCCTATTTTCTTTACCAAATAACACACAAAATTTGCATATATTATTCCATATTTTGAAAAAACAAAAAGAAAATTAAAATACGGCTACAGAACTAACTTACAGGTCCAATAAATAAAGTAGTTGAGGGTTAAAATCACCGTATATATTCGGGTACACCTAATTATTTGATAATAGTAAGAGTCATTAATAAGATGAAAATTACAATGTGTGTGTGTGTTTGGTTGTGTGTGTGTGTGCGTGTGTGCGTGTGCGGGTATGGGTGTGGGTGTGCGGGTCTTTGTAGGTGTGGGTGTGTGTGTGGGTGTGAATTGAGAACTAGAGATTTTTAAGCTCCAAATAGGTGTTATCAATCCCTTAGCTGTTGCAGCATAAAGGGTTTATCAATCGAATGTGTGGTAGACATTAGAATGTAAGACAATTTCTTAATTCAAGCAAATGGTAAAGTTTGTTGGTGACTAATGCTTAAAACAAGATTTAAACTAAAACACAGACAAGTGATTAAGTAAACGAAAACAGCAAGCAATTAAACAAGATGAGATGATATGGAATGATGGAAGCATGAGATTCTAGACATGATAGTTGGCTAGGGTGCTTTGGTGCTAAACTAGAAATGCTAATGACAATGACGAAACATGATTCAAATGATTTAGAACTCTAATCAAGCCTTAATCTTTCCCAACCATCAAGACACAAATCATGTTATTTCACGTACCCAATCATCATTGGAGATCAAACAACAAAACATCATTAAGAATCAGTTCCAAAAGATCATTTATGCAAATAACAAGACATCATCATGCAGCTAATGCATAAACCTATAATATAGTTCTTTCAGGAATTTCATCAAACACATTTGGTGCATGAAATTCCCAGATTCTGGATCACAAGTGATGTGCAAGGATCTAGTTTAGAGAACAGCTGTTTAGAGAGATGAAAACATGAATCTAGCCCAAGGCACTCCTAATCTAGCACTTTAGCACCATCTAGAACCTCATTAAGGAGACTACTAACTAATCATACTAATCTCTCTTAAACCTTTGCAAGTGGAGTAGATTGGCATGATTAATGGATGGAAATGAAGATGGAGAAGATAGATTAAGAAGGAAAACAGCTTTAAACACAAAGATATCTGATTCTCTCTTGATTAAAACTCACAAAAGGAGATATTTCTCTTCAAAAAGGAGTCTTTCACAAAAGAGGCAAAGAAATTAGAGAGACTAAAGTTTAGTCCTTTGGGAAAAACCCTAAAAAACCATATATAGTGTCTCTTGTGGACCGGATCAGCCCGGAACAAACCGGGTCCTGACCCGGCCTTGATGGGTAAAATCTCAAGTGTGCGAGTTGGTCAGGAGCTTCCCATGTCGCAGGCCCAAGTCGCACAGCCACAGCAACACCCTTTTGCGCCTTAAATACTTCAGCCTCAGTCGCATGCCTATCTAGGTGTAAACCGCGAGTGTTTGTGTTGTTCATGCTTTCTTCTCTTCAACTCACACAACCAAGACGCAATCTGGAAAGAATTTGTGTGCGGGTTGGTCTTCCATTGTCCCAAGTCGCATGCCCAACTCGCACAAGTCTGGAAAGGTACTTTAGCGAGACAGAACTTTGTAGACCAAGCCGCATTCTCTTCTCGGTGTAAACAGCGAGTTCTTGTGCGATTCAGGTTCTCTTGGCTTCAACTCGCACGACCAGGTGGCACAGGACTTCAAATATGTGTACGAGATGGCCTACTTCACTCCCAAGTCGCAAGCCCAAGTCGGTGTAAACAGCGAGTCTTTGTGCAGTTCAGTTTACTGCTCGGCTAACTCGCATGCTCAAATCGCATACTTGTGGACTTAGCATTTTTCCTGCTTGGGAGCCTTTGACCTCACCCAGGGTTACCTTACCCGCACATCTCCACACGCAGCTCAATTCCCAGAATTTAACCTTTAAGCGCTGCGAGTTAACCAAGTCGCAAAACCATCTCGTAGACTTCAAATCTCTTCGCACCACTTTGAATTCGGGGGAGCGTAACTTCCAGGATATAGATCCAAATGGCTTTATCTCAACTTCAGTGGAAATAGCACTCAAATATCTCAAACTTTGGTGAAGAAACCTTCAGAGCTTGGGAAGTGTAAGGTTCCCTGGACGGCTCATCTCTGCAGCGCATTGAAACGATCAAAAGGAAGCTCTTGGACCAGTGTTTACTCCGGAGAAGATATTTTTCAGTAAATAGCTTCAAACTGGATGATCTTGGATGTTCTGAGAGAGCCGGCAACTGAATCAGATTGGAAAGGCATCTTCCCACGAAATCTTTGTGACTCATCGGATCGGTCTTGAAACTGTAGCGAGACAGGTGTGCCTTCCGGTGAGCTTAAATCTCTGCTCATGACTCCAAATCCAATGATTTTACCTGTCCTAGATATTTGACCTGATCATATACAACTTTGTTGAAGACCCTATAAGTTGAATCGGACGTTAAAACTCCCCGGACAGGCGATCTTTCAGACGCATTGGATTGCTCCGCAATGGCTGCGAGACAGATCTTTCTTCTGGTAGCCGTATGTCTCAGCTAGATGCTCCAAATTCATCAATTCCAACTGTTACGAAATCTAGACTCAAATATATTGATCTTTTCTGAAGACCCCGGAGGCTGAATCGGGCGGAAAGACCTTCCGGTAACATGATTTTAGAGATGTAGCCGCACCCGAAGATTTTTGGCCGAGAACCTTGAACAGCCGGTACGTGTTTTGGCCGAGAAATCTACCTGCGGTACATAAAAATCGCTGAGAAAAAGCTTTCAGCAAAGATGCAAGGAATTGGCAAATCAGCTCCTTGTAAGATGCAAGAGTCACCTCCATAATGTTCCCGAGACCAATGTTGTTAAGCACAGCTGCACATCATCATAAAGACCCATTTTTTTCAGCAGTTCAACATCAGGGTACATGATTCCTTCATGGGTCATAGCTTGGAGCTTCTTGAGGTAATCAGAGTAAGTGGCTGGCTTTGGCTTGGTTTTCTTGACCACCTTCTTTTTTCTTTTGAGGCACAGGAGCTAGTGAACCCTCATTGTCCTCTTCTTCACTGGACTCAACACTTGGGCTCCTTTCAACCCTTTTCTGTTTCCTTGAACCCCTTGAACTTGAAGCAGAAACTTTTCCCTTGCTTTTGGACCCAGCAATAACCGCTTGAGACTGTCCCCCTGAACCTGAAGCAACTGCTTTTCCATTGTCTCTCCTTGGTACTTTTGGCAGTAAAACAGGGTTTCTTTTTCCCATGGTACCTGATTCATCACAAAGTCTCAAATAAAGCCATTAGCGCCATGGAGTGAGATTTAACCTCAAAAATTTTGAAAATGATTTTTGCTTGCAAGAAAATCATCAGGATAAAACATCATAACAATTCATTCCAAGCACAAACAACAAAATCAAAGCTCCACAGAATTTTCTAACATCCCAACAATGGCTCAAGAACACAACTTTCTCATGACAAGTAAGAATCAGTGTTCAAGTAACAAATCATCACAAGTGAGTTCTTTTCTAGCTATCCACAACTTAGATTCCAAGGTTCTAAACACAGTTCAATCTCATTCTCAAGTTCAAACAGAATCCATCTCAACAAAAGGGCATAGAATCGGCGATGTTCACCAAATGAACCAAACAAACTTTTTCATTCAAAAATACCTTGGAATCAGTTGAAATGATGCAAGATATGAACTCCAAACTTACAAATCCAGCAAGAACAGGCGATTTTAAGTGAGGAAGAGTGACCTTTGAGAGAGCAGCAATGGTGTTTTTCGTAAAAGTGTAAGAGAAGAGAGATAGAACCGAGTTTTTGTGTGATCCAGCCCTAGGTTTTGGCTTGTCGGACACAGCTGGAAAGGGCTGGAAGCGTTGACCTTGACCGAGGCTAGCTATGGACCATTGGGTAATGTGTGCGTGTGAGGCTTTATCGACCCGCAATAGGTCAATATTTTGGTCGATATTCTTTCGGGATTCTTTTTCATTTTATCGACCAAAACCCCCTCGGTACGTTGTTAATTTTTGTCCATCCAGCTCCGTATCGAGGTTCAACAATTCGATATTTCGGTGGATATTCCTTCGACTTTGGAATTTCATTTTATCGACCAGAATATCGAGTTGGTTGCAAGTCGATATTTCCTCAGAACCAAGTCGTTTTCCCATCCTTTTTCTACCCACATCCCTCTTAGACAGCTCTCCAATCACCTTAGAACCTGTACACACTTGAGCAGAACATCAAAACATCCTAAAAAAAAACAAAAGAAAGCATTAAAAATAGTATTTACAAAGGATAAGCTTTGGGTGTCTCCCAAGAGCACTTTGTTTAAAGTCTCTAAGTTTGACTTTGAGAACCTGTTTAACAGGCTGGTGGATCATCAAGAGGAACTGTAGAAGCTTCCTCTCTCTTCTCTGAAACAAGGTAATGCTTGACCCTTTGTCCATTAACAATAAAACCATTTCCATCCTTTCTTTCCAAGACCAATCCTCCATAGCTTCAAACATCTAGAACCCAAAATGGTCCTGACCATCTTGACTGTAACTTGCCAGGAAAGAGCTTGAGTCTAAAGTTAAACAAAAGAACCAAGTTTCCCATCTTGAACTCCCTCTTAAGAATTTTCTGATCATGCAAGATCTTGGTCTTCGCCTTGTATATCCTTGCACTCTCAAAGGCATTGAGTCTGATCTCTTCAAGTTCATGCAACTGAAGTACCCTCTTCTCTTCAGCTGTTTTAATGTCAAAGTTCAACATCTTTACAGCCTAAAGAGCTTTGTACTCAAGCTCTACTGGTAGATGGCAGCACTTCCCATATAACAGATTGAAAGGTGAGGTTCCAGTGGGAGTCTTGTAAGCAGTCCTATAGGCCCAAAGAGCATCATCTAACTTCTTGCTCCAATCCTTTTTTGAATTGCTAACTGTTCTTTCCGAGATGGTCTTGATCTTTATATTAGAAACCTCTACTTGCCCACTTGTTTGGGGATGGTATGGACTTGCTATCTTGTGTTTGACACCATGCTTCCTTAGCAGCCCCTCTAGAGTCTTGTTCACAAAATGAGAACCTCCATCACTTATCACTACTCTAGGAACCCCAAACCTTGGAAAGATGATACTTTTGAAAAGCTTGACCACCACCTTAGAGTCATTGGTTGAGGAAGCAACAGCCTCAACCCATTTTGAAATATAATAAACTGATACAAGGATGTAATGATTCCCATATGAACTCACAAAAGGCCTCATGAGCATCTTTAAACATACTTGGCCACCAGAAACCTGACTGTAACACCTTGGCAACCGTTTTAAAAGCACCTAAGTGTCCTCCATAAGCAGAACCTTGACATTCTTACAACACAGGTTGAACTTCCTCTTCAGCCAAACACCTTCTGTACAGGTGATCATTGTTGAGCACATACAGAAATGGCTCATCCCAATAATACCTCTTGATCTCCCTAAAAAATTTCTTCTTTTGATAGCCACTTAGCTCAGGTGTCTCAAGTCCACAAGACAGAAAGTTTACAATATCTACAAACCATGGCATCCTCCTCTCTCTAATTCTTTTGGCCTCTTCAAACTTCAAGTAATGAATGAGCACCATCAGTTGTTCCTCAGGGAGATAGTCATTTAAGAGAGATCTCCAAATCCACTCTTAATCTAGAAAGATGGTCTGCAGCTCCATTCTCAATGCCTTTCTTGTCTTCCACCTCCATATCAAATTCCTGCAAGAGTAAAACCCACCTCAAGAGTCTAGGCTTGGCATCCTTCTTTGTAATGAGATAACTGAGGGCTGCATGATCAGTGTACACAACAACTTTTGAACCCACAAGGTAGCTTCTGAATTTTTCAAATGCAAAGACTATAGCCAGCATCTCTTTTTCTGTTGTTGCATATTTCTCTTGTGATGAGTCCAAGGTCCTGCTTGCATAGTAGATCACATGCAACTTCTTGTCTTTCTTTTGGCCTAAAACTGCTCCCACTGCATAATCTGAAGCATCTGTCATCACTTCAAAGGGCAGTGTCCAATCAGGTGCCTGGACTATTGGTGCACTCACAAGGGCTTGCTTGATCTTAAGAAATCCCTCCATGCATTCCTCATCAAATACAAAGTCCACTTACTTGCAAAGAAGCCTTGTCAAAGGCTTGGTTATCTTAGCAAAGTCTTTGATAAACCTTCTATAGAAGCCGGCATGACCAAGGAAGCTTCTTATGCCCTAAACTTATGTGTGAGCCTCTAAGCTCACCATAATCTCCACTTTGGCCTTGTCAACCTCTATCCCTGCTTCAGAGACCTTGTGCCCAAGTAAAATGCCCTCTTGAACCATGAAGTGGCACTTTTCCCAGTTTAAAACCAAGCTGTGCTCCTCACACCTTCTTAGGACCTGAGACAAGTTAGACAAACAAGAGGAGAAAAACTGTCCATAGACTGAGAAGTCATCCATGAAGACTTCTACTTTCTCCTCAATCCGTTCCAAAAAAACAAACATCATACAGCGTTGGAAAGTAGCAGGAGCATTGCACAGCCCAAATGGCATGCACCTATAAGCAAAGGTCCCATAGGGACAGGTGAATGTGGTATTCTTCTGGTCTCTTGGATCTATTGGGATTTGAAAGAATCCAGAGTAACCATCTAGAAAACAAAAGAAGGGATGGTTTGCTAGCCTCTCTAGCAGCTGGTCAATAAAAGGCAAAGGAAAATGGTCTTTCCTAGAGGCTGCATTAAGCTTCCTATAACATCCTGTGTCCAGTTATAGTTATTATAGCTGTTAACTCATTCCTTTCATTTTTTATCACTGTCATTCCCCCGTCTTGGGCACCATATGTACTGGTGAAACCCTTTTAGAGTCTGAGATTGTATAAATGATTCTAGCCTCTAGGAGTTTAAGAATCTCTTTTTTCACTACTTCTTTTAAGTTGGGATTGAGACGCCTTTGGTGCTTACTGGATAACATAGATTCCTCTTCATGGTGAATATAATGAGTGCATAGGGAGGGTGAGATACCCTTTATGTCATCCAATGAGTAGTCAATAGCTCTCCTATGTTTCCTCAACTCATCTAACATTGCATGGTCTTGATCCTCTAGCAACTTATCATTAATGATAACAGGTTATGAAGAGTTAGAGCCAAGAAATACATACCTGAGCCCCTTGGGAAGAGGTTTGAGTTCCACTTGAGGTGCCTTGCTTGCATCTCGATCCCTTCTCCAAGCTGTTTGAGAGGCTTGTTGTGGCTGTTCTCCTTGTGGTTCACCTTCAGCATTGCTGTCTTGCTCTTTAACCAGTTCCTGACCCTCTTGAGAACCTATTTCTTTCTTGTCCGCCGAGGGAATATCGACCTTGTAACATGTCGACATTCTGGTTGACATTTTGGGCTCTTGAAATATCGACATGTCACAGGTCGATATCCTGGTCGATAATCTCTCAGCATTTTGCTCGGTCTCAAGTTCTTCACACATAGACAAGGTTTTAGAAGATATCGAGGTGCCACAGGTCAATATCCTGGTCGATAATCTATCGGCATTTTGCTCGGTCTCAAGTCCTTCACACATAGACAAGGTTTTAGAAGATATCGAGGTGCCACAGATCGATATCTTGGTCGATAATCTCTCGGGATTTTGATTCAAAATATCGACCAGATTATCTTGATTGGGCACGTCGATATTAATGCAAGAACTTGAGCTTTCCAAGCTTCTAAACCGATCACTTCCCACCTCTGGACCTTCATAATGCAGGTTTCAAGTAAGAACCAGTGCTCTCATGTGGTTTGTGAGAGTCTAACAGCTTCATGATCTCTAAAGTTTCATTCTCAAGATAGCCATGATCTCCATGTTCCTTTGTTAAGGCAATCTCAAGATGATCTTCAGTGTTTAACTCTTCCAGGAGCTCTTCAGCAAGCTCATCCATGGTCTCAACATAGAAGACCTGCCCTTCTAAAGTTGGCTTCTTCATCATTTCATTAACAGAAAAATTCAGCCTTTCAGAACCAAGTTGCAGCTCAATTGTGCCTCCTCTTACATCTATGATTTCCCGTGCTGTGGCTAAGAATGGCCTGCCCAAAATAAGAGGATCTAGTGGTTCCTCATCTATTTCTAGAACCACAAAGTCTGTAGGCACTTCAAATCCACCTATCTTCACTGGTAGATCCTCTAGCATTCCAACAGGCAGCCTCACAGATCTATCAGCAAGAACAAGTGAGATTTTTGCTGGTTTAAAAGTCTATACCCCAATTTTTTTTTTGCAATAGAGAAGGGCTTTAGGCTGACTGATGCACCCAAGTCACAAAGACATCCAGCAAACATCAAAGGTCCTATAGCACAGGGGAGTGTGAAGCTTCCTGGATCTGTTAACTTTCTTAGAATTGATTTCTTCTGAATGATGGCACTGTCCTCATGGCTCAATAACACCATACCTTGAAGCTCTTTAGTCTTGTTCAGGATAGCATCTTTTAAGAACTTTCCAAGCTTAGGCATCATCAGAAATGCTTCAATGAGAGACATTGTAAGTGGTGTCTCTTTAAGAGTCTTCTCAAAGACAGCTCTTGCCTTATCTACAAGCTGCTTTTTAATCCTGCCTGGAAATGGTAGCTTGGGTTGATAGGGAGGTGGTGGAACATAAACTTTCTCTGGTTCTGATGTCTTTTCCACCTCTTTGGCCTTTCCTTTCTTTGCTCTTTCTGCTTCTTGATCATCCCTTGAGGCTGCCTTCCCACCAATTTGATCATTGTCCTCAATGATCACTTTGTTATGCTCTAAACCTGGTAGCTCTTTGTCACTTCTCAATGTAATGGCTTTAGCATACTCTTTTGGGTTTGGTTCAGGCTTGCCAGGTAAGACATTTTGTGTTCTTGAACTTGAATCTTGATTTTGCCTTAGCTCTCAGATCTCTTGTTGCATGGAAGCATACTGACTCTCAGCTATTTGTTGACCCTAGAGCAACTTCTGTAGTATCCCACACATATATGGACCCATCTGCGGACTCTGAACTGGCGGTTGCTGGATCAAATGCTGCTGAACCATCGGCTGCTCTAAACCCGGAGGCACTTTGAGCTGTTGCTGTTGAGAACTGAAGTTGCTGACCAGATTCTGATGCTGTGGTTACCCTTATTGTTGCTGAGGCTGACTGAACTGTGGCTTAGGCTGAAAAGAACTCTGAAATTGATTCTTAGGAGCATAGCTAAGAATCAATTTCAGAGTTCTTTTCAGCCTAAGAATCTCATTGGTTTGAACAGTCGGTCACCTCACTAAAACTATCATTGTTATGCTGTTTGAAGCTTGAAATCTGGTTTCTTAGATTTGATGTCCTAGAAGTAGAGAAGAACTTGGATAAAAAGGCAAGCTTGCACTGCTCCCAAGTCTGTATGGAACCTAGAGGCAGGTTCTTTTCCCATTGGTGTGCCTTGTCTCCTAGACTGAATGGGAAAAGTCTAAGCTTGAAACTATCTTCAGAGAAACCATTGATCTTTGTGAGATCACAAACCCTGTCAAACTGGTCTAGGTGCTCCAAAGGATCCTCCATTGGCATGCCATGAAATTTGGAATTTTGAACCATATTGAGCAGAGAAGCCTTCACCTCAAAATTGTTATTCTGAATTGGTGGTGCTTGGATTCCTGCTCTATGCTGGTGTGCATTAGCTCTATCATTCTCCCCAACAAACACTGGTGGAGGTTCTTGTATCCTTTGAGCTTGGGGCTGAGGAATGTTGTGAGCCTGTTGCTCATTCCTATTAGCCTGTTGCTGATTCTGCTGAGCCTGTCTCTCTTTCCTTTGTGCCATGTTATATTGACAAAGGCTTGCTGCTCATTCCTCTCAGCTTGAGCCTCATTTCTCTCAACTCCATTACCGTGCTGAGCCTGTTGCTCCTCTTGAACCTGTTGTTCCATATCAGCTTCTCTATCAGTATCCCTTGCACGTCTATCTCTTCTTCTTCTTGGTACTAAGAGATTGATGTTGTCGTTCAGGGGAAATGGTGGACCACAACTTCTAGACCTTGATCTGGTGTTCATACACTTGAAAAAAAGACAGAACTTGAAAGTAATCAGTAAACAAAACGAAAGCACTTGATCTCAAGAAAGTATCTACGACTAATGATAGCACACTTTGGCAACAGCGCCAATTGATGACTAGAGGTTTTTGGCGCTAGAAAAGGTCATCAATGTCTTTTGCTGTTGTAGCATAAAGGGTTTATCAATCCAATGTGTGGTAGACACTAGAATGTAAGACAGTTTCTTAATTAAAGCAAATGGTAAAGTTTGTTGGTGACTTAGGCCTAAAACAAGATTAAAAACTGGAACACAGACAAGTTATAAAGTAAACTAAACAAGCAAGCAATTAAACAAGATGAGATGATATGGAATGATGGAAGCATGAGATTCTAGACATGATAGTTGGCTAGGGTGCTTTGGTGCTAAACTAGGAATGCCAATGACAATATTGAGACATGATTAAAGTGATTTAGGATTCTAATCAAGCCTTAATCTTTCCCAAGCATCAAGACATAAATCAAGCCACATACCCAATCATCATTGGAGATCAAACAACAAGACAACATTAAGGATCAATCCTAAGTGATCATTTAAGCAAATAACAATCATCATCATGGCATTAATGCATAAACCTCTAATATAGCTCTTTAAGGAATTTCATCAAACACTTTTGGTGCATGAAATTCCCAGATCTAGACCACAAGTGATATGCAAGGGTCTAGCTTAGAGATCAGCTATTTAAAGAAATGAATCAATGAATATAGCCCTAAGCACTCATAATCTAACACTTTAGCACCCTAACCTACACATCTAGAACCTCATTAGGTGGACTACTCACTAATCATACTAATCTCTCTTAAACCTTTGCAAGTAGAGTAGATTGGCATGATTAATGGATGGAAATTATGATAGAGAAGATAGATAAGATAGATTGCAGCTTTAAACACACAAAAGATCTTTAATTTCTCTTGATTCAAACTCTCAAAAACAGATATTTCTCTTCAAAGGAGTCTTTCACAAAATAGGCAAAGAAATTAAGGAGAATAAAGCTTAACCTAATGATTAATGTCTCCAAACTATATAATGGAAGGGTTTTACTAAAGAGC